AAAAAAAAAGTGTTGTTCTTAGTTTTTTATTTATTATTGCTATGTTGTAAACTATGTATATTTTAACTACTTAAATTAGCAGCATTTTTCCTTTTATGCAGTGACAAAATAAAGACATTGAAAATGCTATTTGTCTCAACTTTTATTTAATGTTAAATCAAGATATAATCAATGCTAAATCAACATATAATCAACGTTAATTGAGATTTCTAATGTTGAAACAACGTTGAATTGCCAACATTGATTCAACGTTGAATTGCCAACGTTGATTCAACGTTGACTTTTCAACGTTGATTCAACGTTGACTTCTCAACGTTGATTCAACGTTGACTTTTCAACGTTGACACAAACTTCCGTTTTCAAACATAAATTCAACGTTGATTCAACGTTGAGACTCAACGTTGATTCAACGTTGAATCAACGTTGTGTGCCTGCTGGGTTATTTACCGTGGGTTAAAATCAGATATTTCAATTATTTCAGGTACCGCACAGCTTTCATATGCCAGTTTTCTCCTCCTTCTGGTTTTGGCGCTCATTGTGACAAAAGACATGGTGCTATGAACTATGGGATATCACGTTTCTATATAGACATGCAGCACGGAGCAGTGACGTTCGTTCGAGTGCGGAAATGTGGCGAACATTAAACTTGAATAATAGCGTGACGATCATTTGTTACATTCTACAGTAATATATTGTTACATAGCTTGTAAAAAACACGCAATTTTAATATTTATTTTCAAAATAAGAGTTTATGTATGAAATAAAATAATCACTACGCTATCTTATGTTGTCTTTCTTTTACAAACCATTTCTCTTCAGAGCTGTGAACGCACTCTCACATTTAGCGAATTGAACGGGATGGAGGTTGGGCGGGGCAGCATATGGGGTAAAGGTGGGTCTCATCTAACTATTCTGTCATTTTACTTTGACCAGTTTTTCTTTCACAAATATATATAGAGTTTTTAAAAATTCAGGTGTACAGGACGTTCCTGTCTGAGCGCTTAAAAATACAGCCTTAAATGGCGCATGCGCAGCACTACTTATCACAACAAATCGATAGCCTCCTGCGCAACCAGTGTCTTAGCCAGGAGAAATTAATTCAACTCCAATTCATTAATCCAAACTCGTTGAAATATATTTTATGAAGAGTTGCTTTCAGACACATACTGGTGCCCGTTATTCCACACTCACGTACCCCACGCCTTGGTTTATGTCCCAGTGTCAAGTACAGCAGCAACCACACTAAGGTTCTATTGTCAAAACGCGTAATGTCAATACCGCTGCATGCCTTTCATTCAAACGATTCAATTGAATAAGTTCACTCTGGGTCAACCTAGCAATACCGTGTTATTATGAGGCAAACATCGATCGAAATCAGCAAAGTTTGATAACTGAAATGCTAGTAATGAACAGATAAGTGTTTATGACATACTGTAATATCTTGGTGCTAAGGTAGAGATAACACATATTACTGGATCAAAGGAATCTCTTTTTGAAATATACACGGAGGGTGCGAAACTAAAAAATATTTTATGACGCAGCACTTTTTATGTCAACAAAAACACCTGACGATTTTCGACGGGCGCCATCTTATACACCTAACCTGGGCAAAATTTTGACGGAATTCAAGGACAAACGTCATTTTCAAGACTTAATGGAAAATATGACTTGACTTAAGCATGTGAACTGTACTTGGAAGCCTGCAAACTTTGGTTTTATCTGCGGAGTGGAGACGAACTTGCCTTGATGAAGTTTTTTTCGAGAATTGGGTATGAAATCGGCAGCTGAACGCTTGCATTTTTAAAGGTACAGTATGAGGCTTTTACCTCATATCTAAGATGAGACTTACCAATGCATTGATATATAATTATTTTCAAAGATAACCCATTTTTTCATCTAAAAAAACACTGTAAGTTTCAATTTATTTGAAGCCAACGTAGAAAAGTAGGTCCTACATATACTCAGTACCTTGGCTCAAAAAATTGAGATTCTTTTCTAGTAATCTTTTCCCACCTTTCATACTGTCTGTAAGTAAATTATTTATGTTGTAATAATCATAACTCTTTTGCATCTCCGACCAAACAGAACAAGACAACACGGTTTTGAGATTTATAACTGGTCTGCGGCAGGTCGTTTTATTATGATGCTGAAATGATGCTTCATTGGTTATTTAGGGTTATCTAGTGTTATATACATTTTAAACCAAAAAATGGGACTGCAACAAAAAGACTGCTCTACAGAAATGTAATTCCTTTTTCTTTCTCTCGGGTTCTTAAATGGTTCGCATCTACGACACCCATAATTTTGTAGTCAAAGGAAATTTCAATAGAGCAAACCCCCCTCTAGAGCGAATTGGTTTGAATGCCTCTGAAGCTTGCCTCTGACTCATCAAGATATGACGTCAGTGTGAATTGCTCCTTGGCAATACTTCGTCTTCTTAACTTAAATTGTGCGATCAAATGCAATATCACATGCAATAGAAACCTTGGAAAAATATGATTCAATGATTTAAATATCACGGGGATTTGCATTCAGTGTAATAAGAAATAAAAAAATTACACCACTTCAGCGTGTTGTAACAAGAGGGATTCTTTTCTCTTGTGATTATTCTCTCCATAGCTGTGTCTGTTTCTGAATATGTCCAGCTTTGTCTTAACCCAAAACAACACGATTTTTTGCTTTATTTAGTACAACGTGGCAAGACTAATTTGAAATGGTAAATG